CTTCGTTTGCGAATTAAAATGCAGGTGCGTTGTCAGCCTTGAGGACTAAGATAGAATGCCTCTTTTCCAGTAAAATGGGTCTCCGGTTCTCTACACTCACCATACGAAACACAGCAGCTGCTATTTTACGCTGGTGTTCTGTGAGAGCGTGGTCTTTCCCTGGTCGAGCCGACCCATCCACGTAAAAATAGGTAATCATTTGTTCCTACTGTTAACCCATGGGGCAGTAACATCGTCAGGTTGCGGTGATGTTGAATTAAAATAAGACAATCGTCTGGTTTCATAACTAACATCGAAATCGTATTCACAATTAGTATATTGAGGTTTCCCTAACATATCGATTATAAACATCTTATTGAAGGCAATACTAACTAGTCGACATGTTGGTTCCCAGCAGTTGGTACCACCTGTCTAACTTTTCCAAAGAAATTTTCGAGACAATCTTGACTGAGACGTATCGTAAATAGAAATTAATTACATTTCTTCTGATTTTAATTCTTCATATAGTTTTATTAAAGATATACACTTGGAATCCGTGAATGAAATATATATAATTATTACTATTTGTAACGTTTTTCTGCTTATCACTTCTTATTGATTTTAAGTTCCTGAAAAATATTAGTATTCTTTATTATTTTATATTTATTAGGAAATCGCAGTGTACTTGAGTGTAAGAAATCAAACAAATTATTAATTTTATTACAAAATCAGTGGTATCTCTTGCGGCAATCTCGATAAGATTTAAATCTACGTAGGTATTAGTGAACCATATTTACACTTTTTCATATTTCATTTGATACGAATTATTCTCTAAAAAATAAAATTTGACACTTACTATTTATATACAACCTTGACTTTGAGCACTGGCCGAGCCGGATTAAAGCAGTTTCTCTGTACGTGACGAGGCGCCAGTGCCCACGCACACACGCGTCTTAAGCTTGTAGTAAAGTACCTATAACAGCGCGGTTGTATGAAGCCTTGCCTCTGTACGGTACGGTTTCTTTATTCATGTGGTATATGTTTAAATGTGTGATTATAAATTTTTATGTTATTCGGTATTGATACTCGCCGTACTTCGACACGCGGTGTGACCACTAAACATGCTCCGCCCTGTTTCAGCGCATCTATCCGGTCGCAACGAAATATTGTGTATCCACTTGGTACTAACTCTGCATCACGAACTGACTGATTGTAACCAGTTTCTGTTACTGCAAATAAGTCTTTATCTGAGGCTAAAATACTCCTATAAAACTGGTCCAGTTTTGTCCGAAGGTCCCGTTCTGGTGAACTATTTCTTATCTGCTATTTGCTAGACTTATTCTGCCTTTTTTGGATTTTTCGGTTTGTCTGCGAAACTGTATCTACTCGCAAAACTCAACATTTAATGTCCAATTTTCTGATTGAATTAATTCATCATATTTACTTTCTGGAACACGAACACCTATAGTAAAAAAAGCATAATCTTTCTTTGCCTTATGCCTTATTTTGTCAATTTTAATAGGTACTTCTGCTTCTAAGATATTTTAACATACTTTTCTAGGTTTTCCTCCGATTTGTCTGATTTTAGTCGCCAAACGTGTAAATGCCTCTGCCTATTAGTTCCATAAAGTTCGACTGTACTCGTTCTTCCTCCATTTTTACTTCATTTATAGAATACCTACTTTTCTATTTAAAACTATCCAATTATATTCCTTTTCCAATCCTTATCCAGGCCAGTTTTAGAGTAATTACTCTCTTTTTCCTTTCTCAATATTTGTGTTATTATTATCCATCTCAGTAAAGTCAACCGAGGGAACGGGTATTGTTTCAATATCATAATTTTCTTTGGAATTTTTTAAATTTTAACATATTTCCACTTGCTCATTTCGTTCTATTAAAAAATTAATTTGCAATTAGAATTCATTAACTTTGTTTGCTTTTTCTTGAACTACCTTCATAATTTTACGCAACTCTTGTAACTCCTTTTTAGTAGTTTAAAATCGATTTCGATTCTTCTAAAATCGATTTTAATCGCGTACTCCTTAATTTGATAATCTATTCGTGATTATATTTTAATTGAAATTCACGGAGTTCTTCTAGCATTCTGCTCTCATTATCAATCATTAAAACTTCCATCGGAATGTGACAACTGTCACGCTCGGTATTCAGCGGTATTCAGCTCGGTAGCTGCTTGGTGTAAGTCTCGTCCATTATAAGATTGCTTCGGATCGGCTTATTAGTGTTATCTTGTTTTGTAATAGAATGCTTACACTCTGGGCATATCCACGTACTATTGTATTCTTCTGACAGTTCTCCAAAATCTTCTGCCGTTATAGCCAGGCAATTTAGGTGATCCAACCTCTTACATTTTTTTTAACATTCCATGTAAGACTCTTGTGTATCGTATATCCAGGAATTACAGCCGTCACATTTTTTACCCATTTAACTGTGACTAAAAATCCAGTTATTACGCAAAATTAATTATAGAAATTGTCAACATACACGTCCGTTTCCAACGAGTGACAATATGTGGTTGTATAAGAATATCTATAAATATAATAAATCTGTAGAAAAGTCGTGTCTGTAATTCTAATATATTCTTGAAAAAACAAGTCCAGGGGACTAAATAAAGGGTTCTGAAGCCAAATTCTGTCTGTCTGTCTGTCTGTGTATTCCGGATTCACGCAAAAACGACTGAACCAATTTACATGAAATTTTGTATGTAGGTAGTGAGTAACCCGGGACAACATATAGGCTACTTTTTATCCGATTACGGAACTTCAAGAAAAGAACGTTAAGTATTTTATTTCCTTTAGATATTAATTTTTTATTACATCTTAGTTATAGGCGGGATGACGGGTGTTTTTCAAATAAATACCATATTTGTAAATAAAGTTTAAAATATAGTTATAATCTTGGTAAATTAATTTGAAACTACACCGATTTGTTATTCAAAACAGCGCCATCTATCATCAAATGGAAAAGTAGTATATTTTGCCTTCAGTTACTAATAAATGAAATTATATTAATAACTTACATTTATATGATTAAATTATTAGATTTTTAAAGTTATTAAAAAACTAACGTTTAGTTTTTTGGTATTTTTGTTATTTTATTTTGAAAGTGTAATAATTTCAATAGATAATAGTGACGTCTATAATAAAAATAAAATTGATAAGGTATTTATTTGAATTACTAATATATATGTAAAGTGATTAAAACTGGTCTGTCTGCATTTTTTTTTTATAGGATAAGGGTGACAAACGAGCACACAGTCCACCTGATGGTAAAAGGTTGCTGCGGCCCATAGACATCTACATTTATCCTCTATTACAAATCAAAATGTAGATGCGTTGTCACCCGTGAGGACTAAGATGGAATGCCTCATTTTCAGTAAAAAGCGAAACGCAGAGGTAAACCTCTAATTCACGCTGGTTTTATGTGAGGTCATGTTACCACCCCGGTTCGAGCCTGCCCATCCGTGCGACAGCAAAAGCTGCCGCGTGGCATCGGTTCCGGTGACCACTGTTGAAATTTGCAATTGTTGCAAAATTTTCATTATCATTATAGTTTTATTCAAGACATTTTTATGGATGTCGTGGCCAGATCGTAGAATTAATCATATATCATAAAGTAGTCTATCGTTTCGTGAAATGGTGTGGTCATTTCGTGATATTTAACACTATTTGTTGACCATGTCATGATATAGCGTGACCAAATCAATGAATAGAAATCGTTTGAAGATAGTTATAACTAAACACAACTTTGCTATTTTATAATATGGTCATATGACGATATCATTATCGTTTTTCACCACTAGGGGCGCTGATAGCGTATTTTTAACAAAAACAGAACTTTTAAGAGAATTGACTTCACTTTATCCCTTATTGATATAATAAATAAATGTTCGCTTCTATTGCTTATATTACTAGATGGTATGGTAAATAATTGAATCAGTAACATTACATTCATCCCGCGTTGGAATCAGCGCAGCGAACACTTTTTTGGCTAAAAATTCTGTGGCCTGTGCCTATTATTAGTAACATGTAAGCTGCTACTTTTTTACTTTTCATGGGGCAATATATGCTGTTTTTATTTTATTCGTGTTTTCGAGTATGTTGCTTTTAGTTTTCACTCTACAGTAAATATTAAGGCTTGCAAAGATGAGGGTAAAAATTAAAATGCGGATTGGCAACCGCAGCTATTTTATTTTGATCTATTGTGAAGAAGATGATGCAGCCCATCCCATCTCCAGTTTGTTTTCCTATGTCGCCTCTTACGACGTGACGTTATGATGTGGTGGATTTTCTTTCACCGCCACAACAGGGCGAACACTTTTCTACTCCCGTTCATGAGTGTAGTGATCCTCACGTTCACTGTGAATAATATTTATAAGGAATAAAACGAATTTTAAGGATATTATCGCGTTTAATTTTAACTTTTTAAATTCCCGATGTTTTGGACACTTTACAGCACCCATGATCACGGGAGGGGCGGGAGAACTGAGGTGTTTGACGACCTGATGTCATAGTTAAAATAGAATAGAATAAATGCAGTAGTAGTTTGAAATCTCTGACAGACATAGAGACATAGACACCAAGGTGACTCTAAAAGTGATCGCATATTTCTAAATTTGGCACGGAACAGCATTTAATGATGTTCCTAAATTCAAGCGCACGCGAGCGAAGCCGCGGGTAAAAAGCTAATACTTAATAAACGTAAGGAATTAAAATATATGAATAGTTTTATTTCAAATTTAAATGTATAATTTTATTATTATTCATTTAAATTTAAAAAAATATTGTTTAAATTTAACTGTATAGATTATCTATTGTTTTAGTTTCCCTCTTTCACCTCTTACGACCCCTACTGTTTGATGAGTAAAGCCAATTATACGATAAGAAGGGACTTAAAGGTTTATTTTTTTATGAATAAAAAACAAAATTGAAAACGTTAAATAAAACATGAAACATCCTTCCCATAGAAAGATTCAATGATTAGACGATTAAAATAACAATTACCCGATTGACGTGAAGGATGTCGCCGTCGTTCATAAGTGGTCGAGTCGTCTCTATGTATTCTGTAACAAAAACAAGATGTTTTAAATGTGAAAATGTTGAAATTGCTTATCGATTAGAGGCGCGATTGGTTTTTTATATTTGCTTGATGAAAATACAAGTATCTATAAATCAAAATTAGTTTTAGTTTTTTAAATTATAGTTTTTAATATTGTATTTATTTCATTAATAAATTCAAAATCGTTAAAAAAAATTGATTGTTTTTTATTTCACAACACTAGCTACTAGCTGTCTTGACACTAGTGGGACCTCTAATCATTTTTACAGCATAGGCTGCAGAAATTCTGCTTGCGAGTTTGGATTTTTGTTATGGGGGCCCCACTGAAGCTTTGCGTCGAAAGTGATGCCACGAAAAACAGTGGATTCAACAGGGCTCAGTTCTTCCCCATTTAAAAAACACATTTGTATTCAGATTTTTTACATTCGTTCTTGCAAATTTAGTACATTTAGTTTTATTTCCGTTTAAATGTAGATTATTAACGTTAAACCAATGCAATAAATTTGATGTAGCATTATTCACTTCGTCACATTTAAATGATTGACGTTTAAGTTTAAAAATCAAGGAAATATCATCAGCAATTAATACTATATCATGATTATCCCCTACAAGGGAAGGTAAGTCATTAATATACACTAAAAATAGGAATCGGCCAAGAATCGGACATTGAGGGAAACTCATTTTTACGGATGACCCGGAATAACTTTTACCATTGATTCTAACTTTCTGCTTTCTATTATTTAAATATGAAATTATAAGTTTAAGCGCAGCGTTTTTGACACCATAGTACTGTAGCTTCCTGATTAATGCCTCGTGGTGAATACAGTCGAAGGCCTTGGAAAGGTCACAAATTATACCCAAAGCATCCTCTGAATTCTCCCATGTACAAAAAATATAAGGCAAATTCTCCCGGCAATAGGGGAAATCCATGGCTATATATATATATATATATATATATTAGTCTAGCTTTTTCCCATGACTTCGCGTGTGTCTCCCTCACTAACTGTACATTTAAGATAAAACTATCATCAGTTTAACTAACCACTGTATCACTTTTTTTTTAACTAGACTTTTACTACGATTGTACTAGCAGATCGTTAAACCGTGAAGCATGGCAACTATGGCAAATATCACCCCTATGAGGACTTTTGAAAGGCTGTAATGGTGATATTTCAATAATTTTTGGGTGTAAAATTTCTAATAACTTTTTGTTTAACATTCGAAGAACAAAAAATTAACAAACCTACCATAAATCTAATATTTCAGCCGCAGTAATGGTTTTTTAATGGTTTTTAAAGTGAAAGAAATATTACGAGATTAAGTGAGGTTTATATGGTATTCCAGTAAGCATTATCTATATAAAAATATATATATGTAGTTTAATTATAATGATAACGTTTCATTTTAGACCATGTTATTTGACAGAATAAGGGTAACTATTAAGTAAGGCGGTTGCAGCGGTAAAGGCAAATGAGCAGGTAATATAAGGAAATGATAGGCGATAAGCGAAGCTGCGCGCATCTACTGGTTACTAGGTGTCGGGAGTAATATTGTTCTGTGTGGTTGGTGCGGTTGAATTTTATTATTTGCTTTTTAAACGAACTTCCGAAGTTTATTTATTTGAATTGTTGAGATTTAATGTAAACAGATACATATAGTACGTGTAACATAATATATAAATTAATATAGTACATGAACGTTTGTATACAAATGTTTAAACGTTTAATATATGCACTTATATTTCATATGAGTAAGAAGTTTCGCACCCAACGTTTATCTTTGGCACTCTGGATTGAGAATGCCACATACCTTTAATTCCGGCCTATGCCTTAGCTTTAAGGTGTTAAATTTATGTTTTGAAATACGAGTACATGTATCTATTAATTTTAAGTAGCATAGCTAATTCATAATACCAACAATGAGTGTAACTATTAGAAATCATTACATAAAAAATCATATTCAGACTAAGTGTGTATTATGTAAAAAAAGAGCATTCCTTGAAAACTTCTGTAACAAACATATAGTGTTTCTTAAAATAGAATTTCAACCAAACATCTCAACGTCACACCATAAACTAAAAATTCCTAAGTCATTTCTAGGAACAAACTACCAAATTTTGTACTCATTTTGTACTCATTTACTTCATTTTTGCAATGGAGTTAAAGACGTAATATAGTATTATTTTTCCCGCCTAAAAAGGATATAATATTTTGTCGTTTGGTAATATTTTACCTACCGTCTTTTTTTTTACTGTTTTTGTTACTTAGATAACTATTTCTCAAAATCTGTCAAAAGTGTTCAAGTACTAAATAACAAGTCATATTCAGGAAAAAAATCAAATTAATTTCAGGTCAAAGTCGCGTCAAAGTTAAGTCAAGGCAGGCAAGACTTGAACGTCCACCAAAAAGAATTTATTCGAGTTCGGCTAATTTAGAGCTATGAGTTTAATCAGTAGTTGGAAACATCGTGCATTATTTCAAGTGAACATTGATGTAAGTTATAAGATTTAGTTTACCCGTGTTGTTATATCTTTTTAAGTCCGTTCTAAGCTACAATATAAGACATATAAATGTCATATTTGTGTATGTGTTTCAGTTTCCTCGTTGAGAAGAAACCTTTGTTACGTTGAAAAGCGCTAAGCAGCGAACCTGCCGCTTTGTCTTTTTGATTGTGTTGATTTTTAAAGGAATGTTCTTGCTTTGTCACTAAAACACTAAACTATTTATAATATTCAGATTTTAAGCAAGAACTAACGGGGTCAATTATGTCGACTTTAAACGTAGCTACTTTAAAAATAATGGTGAAAAAATAGTACAATTTTTTTTATTTATTATTAAAATGCTTTTAAAAATATTGAATTTAAATAACTTTATTATTAGTAATTTTAATCCATACGATCTTGACGTAAGCAGGACCGGAAATACAAAGCGCATAGTTTCGTCATTGTAATACACAAAATATTTGAACTCGATACTAGTGCCAATCGTGCATAACAAAAGTAAATACGCATTTAATTTTCTAGGTGTGTATTTACCGAAATATTATATAGAACTAGCTGTTACCCAGCGCGTTGCAGCCACAGAACAAATAATTGTGGAAATATCGTTTTAAATTTGGAAGAGTTATATTTTTTATAGGAGAGGGGCAAACGAGCATATGGTTCACCTGATGGTAAGTTACTACCGCCGCCTACAACTACAACACCAAGAAAATTGCAGGTGCGTTGCCAGACTTTAAAAAAGGAATAGCTATTTTCTTTCTCCCTAAGTCGTATCGGTCCGAAAAAATCGACGGTGGTAAATTATTCCACAGAGAGGTCGTACGCAGAAGAAAACTCCTAGTATAACGTACAGTGGTGGGCTGCCAACAATCCAGGTGGTGTGGATGGTATCGGGAGTTCTGCCGCGATGTGCGTTCGTGAAATTTGGCGGCTGGGATTTTTTTTTATAGGAGATTGGGCAAACGAGCATGCGGCTCACCTGATGGTAAGTGACTACCGCCGCCCATGAACAACTGCAACACCAGGGAGGGAATTGCAGATGCGTTGCCGGCCTTTTAAAAAGGAGTACGCTCTTTTCTTGAAGGTCGCTAAGTCGTATCGGTCCGGAAAAATCGCTGATGCTAATCGATTCCACAAGGAAGTCGTGCGAGGAAGAAAACATCTTCTAAATCGCACAGTGGTGGATTAATCCGAACAATTCCTCAGAGCACTCCCCGTGGTAATGCGAAAGAAAATGCAATGGGATGTAACATCTCTTCGCAGGGCCAGTAAATCGAGCCGATCGGTAAGGAATCGGTCGTTGACGAATCGAGCCGCTCTGCGCTGGATGCGGTCAAGTGTAAGGAGCTGGCACTGGGGAGCCCCTGCCCAGAGATGGGAACAGTATTCCATGTGAGGCCGAACCCGCGCCTTGTAAAGTAGCAGGCGGTGTGCCGGCATGAAATACTGTCCCGCTCAGCTGAGCACGCCAAGCTTTTTAGAGGCCAACTCAATAACTCAAAATAATAAAAACTGCGGTGACGATTTTCCCATCTGTGTGACAGATGCTCATAACTAAGTAAATTCCGACAGACCTCTATACTTCTTTAAGTAATCTTTTTAATTTTGAAATAAAAGTTATTAAAAATATCGGAATTTAAATAATTTGTAATTCAGGGTGCATCGCATATGATTTGATTTTACGCCCTTAACGTTTTATACCAGCTGTCAGGTTAAAAGTTTACTTCAATTTATTAGGTAGTATTGATTGATAAAATAATTTCATAACTTGTTAGTAAATATAAGTTGATAAATTTGAAACTTCTTTTCCATAGGCTACTATTTCGTTCACCTATTATATTTTTTTTTTATAGGATAAGGGTGACAAACGAGTACACAGTCCACCTGATGGTAAGTGGTTGCTGCGGCCCATAGACATCTACATCTATCCTCGTTTGCGAATCAAAATGCAGATGCGTTGTCACCCGTGAGGACTAAGATGGAATGCCTCATTTCCAGTAAAAAGGGCCTCCGGCCACCTGCACCCACCAAGCGAAACGCAGAGGTAAACCTCTACTTCACGCTGGTATTCTGTGAGGTCGTGGTACCACCCCGGTTCGAGCCGGCCCATCCGTGCGACAGCAAAAGCTGCCGCGTGGCTCTACCACTGTATTATCCTATTTTTCCCTGACAGTAATAAAAATAAAGAACCGGTATATTATTTAAAGAAATATGAACTTTAAATTAAATACTATAATTATTTTACACTTACCGGGCTCAGTTTCTAGTTTTTTTTTATGGAAGCAGAAGCAAATCAAGCATACGGCTCAAATGATGGTGATTGATAACCGTCGCCCATGAACATCTGCAATACCAGGGAAATCTGCAACACCTGCCCCAGGCAAACAGTATTATACACGGGGCCGAACTTGTGCTTTATAAAGCTGCAAGCGGTGACCCGGCATTAGATAACGTCTTGATTTACTGAGCATACCATTTTTCGATGACAGTTTAGCCTTCCCTTCCAAGTAACTGCGGAACTGTACGTCTCTAGAAATACCGTCGCCAAGGATTCCAATGCTGGCCGAGGCAGCAAGAGGAGTACTCTGAAGTTGAGGAGATACGACAAACGGGTTCTTGTTTTACAATAAACGTGCAACCTGTGTCTTTTAGAGCTTAAACTGAATCCGAGATTTTGTTCAATAAAGACTCGACTTCAGACACAAGCTTGTTCCGGCACCCGACGTGTTCCCGAGAAATATTAACATGGCTGGTTTATAAAGCATCGCCAGTGCTGTCGTCTGCATAACAATGAATGTTACTAGTGTGCAACATATTATTGATATGCAGAAAGAACAGGGTGGGCAGCCTTGTGGAACACCAGCATTCACAGGCTTGGAATTCGACCATCGACTACGGCCTTAATACTACAATCTGCAAGAAAACTGGTGACCCAATTGCATAGTTAGGTAGAAAACCCATTAGAGGGAAGCTTCGAAAGAAGCGCTTTGCGCCAAACCCGGTTCTTCAATCGGGCCTTCAATCTGCCTTCGCTATATCCAAACTAATTGCCAGGGCCTCCCCCTTGATATCAACCGCCTCCACTCATCGGTGAGACACTAGACGACACGAAGATCACCAGCTAAGCGAAATCGACGGAAACCGTATTGACTAAGCAGCTGATTCTATTCAAGGTATCTCATAAGCTGGCAATCAATAATGGATTCCATTATTTTGGGAAACGAGTATGTGATGGCAACCGGTCTGTAGTTGGACGGATCCGAACGGTCACATTTTAAGGGAGTTCACTAAAGTTGTCTTTCATGAGCTTGGAAAGACGCCTAAAGAGTGAAAGTAGAAAAGACCACCAGAAAAGACGCGTAAGAACCAATGCCAACTCTGGAGCACACGTCTTCAGGAAAATTGGGGGATCCCATTAGGCCCACTCGACTTATGGACGTCCAGGGAGAGTAGTGCTTTACGCACTGAGCACTGTGTAAACCGAACATCCTACATGGAGCATTCACAATGCGGCATGGTTGGCTGTGGATGTCCTTGTTGTCGAGTATTGTTTTGGATGCAAGAAGAACCGAAAATATCAACTTTCTCCCAGTTAAAAGATGGTAATGATGGCTTACAGAAATTCCCTTGGGTAACCTTGGCGAATTTCTCTTAATATGCTCCGTCTTTGCCCTAGCGATAAGTCTTTTGAAAGACCTGGAGGCAGAGTTGTACTTCTCTTTGAGCGCGCTGGTGTTTGTATCCCGGGCGCCGATGCGTTGGCCCCGATTTTGGAGTAAACTCATCCCGTTTGGTAAGAAGCTGTAATGAATCACACCGACGCTACAACACTAAACAGTGACCGTCACTTATCTAAGGATAAGTTTAGGACATTGCTTGTGTGTTGAAACAGGATCCAACCAACTTGCTTCAAAATTGCTTCGTTTGTGTGTCTGCGAAGTAGGGTAAGGTGCGTACTTCAACGTAATACAAGCGGATATTGAGTATCATCAGCTTCTACAATCGCCTTTAATTAGTCATTGTCGAACAAAGTTTTCGGATGACCCCGGTGTTTATTTTTCAGGTCGAAATTTACAGAACGGAAGCGAGCAAACCAATAATGGACGATGCGTTTGTTTGTAGTATTCGCTTCGTAAACGAATTTAATGAAAATTGCGTGCAGCTTGTGTCGCGTTACTACCACGACTGTATTCCATTATTACTCGAATTTTTAACGTATCCATGATGAAAACAAAGATTCAAATGCTATGAAAACATAACGCTAATCAATAAACAAATGATTAATTTAAAAGCCATAAACCAATGTTTTTAAAATAAAATTAATTTGAAATTAGAATTCTTAGCCAAACAAAATTTATTTTGTTTTTAAGGATAAAATTTATTTTGTTTTTAAGGTGGCCATTTAAAAACAAAATAGGCAATTTCATAGGTAAGTAAGATACCATCCTTAATTTGGAAAATCCAATTGTGCACCCCACGAGCGCTCATGTAATATTTTGAATAATCTATTTACTTTTATTACAGCTACAAAAAATTGTTTCTGCTTAATTAACACGATTCGTATTATTTAACCGAAAAAAATTGTGAAATAATTCATAAATAAAAAAAATATTAATGAACGGGACGGCATACAATAGTGTAATTCAAAAGGCTTCTTGAGGATTTAAAATTAAAGCTAATAAAAAAATTAAATACCGACCAACTGACGTCCAAGTTAAATTAGTGAAATGATTTTCAATTAACTTTTTTTTAAATAATCTTTCAACTACGTCAGAAGTATTAATTGAAATCTCCTCTTGTTATTGGTGTACTTTTTTATTATATAAGTGCAATATAAAAAATAACATTGATAAGTTTTTTTTCTATACAATATAATCCCCCCCCCTTAAGGGGTACATTGTTGTCGTTAAAATCACATCTGCGAGAGTTAGGCTACCATGTAACCTACTTGTGAGATGTGTCGGCGGTGTGCAGTCAGTTACTCGCGAGAAAAATGGTAGCAACAAAGAGACAAAATCCTTATTTTTGTATTTAGGGGGTTTGTGGCTCAATGCTTGCTTTTCTCACATGGAACTCCGTCACACCAAGCTAGCCAAGCCCTTTTCCACCACACGATGTTGACAAAAAGCACAGAATTATATCCATAAGCACAAAACGCCGCTGTGCATGTGAATGTGGAGAGAATTTTAAGTTCAAAGGCCTAAAATGCGGCGTACGCCTAAATGCTTTATAGACTACCAGGAAAAGGGCTTTTCATCATAATATTCATGTCTATATTTTTCGATTAATTTACTGACTTTGATATAAATTCAACTGTTCTCTCAATTGGAGTAGTATAAGCGGTAGCACGGTTCCGCTGTGGTATACCGTCGGTACATATATATCCTCGAGCGGTTCATTAAATCATAACTATATCTACCTAGTCAGGTCATAAGTATTGTCACACAGTAAAAACTTTTCTTTTAGAATGCTGGCCACAAAAAAGTTTATTGAATTCGAATTTCGAATTGTTCATGAAAATAAAACTATACTTTTTAGAATTTTACTCATTATTAAATATGGAGTGGACGCTTAAAGAAGACCGTGTTGCAGTTATTGCGTTGCATCGTTGCGGTTACGCACCAATTCAAATTTTTGACATACTGAAAAATTTGAATATAACCAAAAGATTTGTTTATCGTACCATCAAACGATACTCTAAGACTCATACAAGTCATAAGACTCTAGTGTAGATGACAGGTCAAGAAGTGGTCGCCCTCGGTCTGTTAGGACTCCAGCAGTGATAAAAGTTGTGAAGGCGCGAATTCAAAGAAATCCCAAACGTAAGCAGAAACTGTTGGCCCTACAGATGGGGTTAAGCAGAACCACGGTGAAAAGGGTGTTAAATGAAGACTTAGGGCTTCGGACGGTACGCGGGAAAAAAATATCGGGAAATTCTTTTTTCGGATGAAAAAATTTTTACCGTAGAAGAGAGCTACAACAAACAAAATGATAAGGTGTACGTACTCAGTAGTGAAGAAGCGAGCAACCGTATTCCGCGTGTCCAACGAAGTCATTTTCCATCCTCACTCATGGTATGGCTGGGAATTTCTTATTGGGGCTTAACAGAGGTACATTTTTGTGAGAAAGGTGTAAAAACGAATGCAGTTGTGTATCAAAATCAAAATCAAAGTCCTGACGAACCTTATGGAACCTTTTTCTCATACCATGTTCAATAACAGGCACTTGGTATTCCAACAAGATTCGGCGCCAGTTCAT